CCTAGGACTTGTGAAATTCTATCGAACAAAGGCTTTTTTTCCGATTTTTAGAGTTGTGTCATATTCTCGTCATTTATGTAACAATTTAGTTACATTGTAGAAAATTTGTTACCTTGCACCTAGATACCATTATATTTAAATATTTTAGTACACCATAAGAACAATGACAGCAAATATCACTGACACTTTATTATGTCAAGCTCAGACAGATTTTATTTTACATCGACTAAGGCCTAAACTCATAAATATTCCCAGTAAAACGTCCCACTTTTAGTTGTATGCAATAAACAACTTTATGTAATTTTGACTACCTTGCCCTACATTAAAAATACACGTTCTGGAAGCGATTTCTAGAATGATTGACGGGGATTCCCAACAAATACAGACACATGATTGGATGAATATCAAAGGGAAATGACGTGAAGGTTCTCGAATGATCTAGAACGTTCGGGAAAGTCCAAATATATAAAGTCAGTTCGTTCGTCGACACAAATTTAGTTTAACAGGAAACAAGTTGCTAAGCAGACATACTATTCGTTTGTGCGATTTCAAGTGAAAAATATATTGTTTGTGAAGTGAATTTCCTATTACAGAAAGACATTATTAATGATGGGAAAAGACTATTACCAAATTCTTGGTATCACCAAGTCTTCAAATGAAGATGAAATCAAAAAAGCTTACAAGAAAATGGCGTTGAAATATCACCCCGACAAAAACAAATCACCAGGTGCTGAGGAAAAATTTAAAGAGATAGCAGAAGCTTATGATGTGTTGGGAGACCCGAAGAAACGAGAAGTATTTGATAAGTATGGAGAAGAGGGATTGAAAGGTGGAATGCCAGGCGGACAAGCAAATGGCCCAATGCCTGGTGGAGGTGGAAGAGCTGGAACTGGAAATACCTACCACTATACTTTCCACGGAGATCCTCACCAAACATTCAAAATGTTTTTTGGAGATGATGACCCATTTAGAAGTTTTTTCGGAGGTCACCAAGGATTTGGAGGATTGGGAGGACATGAACATATGGAGGTGGATGACGATCCGTTTGGACACTTTGGCAGAGGTGGTGGTATGAACATGATGGGTGGTAGACAACCTCAAAGATCTAAACGCCAAGATCCTGCTATTGTCAAAGAATTACAGACGCCTATGGAGGAGATATTAAATGGTGCTACCAGAAAATTAAAGATAACCAGGAAAGTTATGAATTCTGATGGTCGATCTGTAAGGACTGAAGACAAGATATTAACTGTGGAGATTAAAAAAGGATGGAAAGCTGGAACCAAAATAACATTTCCTAAAGAAGGTGATCAAAGCCCGAATAGTGTTCCAGCAGATGTTGTATTTATAATAAAAGATAAACCTCATCCACTCTTCAAACGAGAAGGTTCAGACATTCGTTACAAGGCAACATTGCCTTTAAGAGATGCTTTGTGTGGTGGAACTATAAATATACCAACATTAGATGGACGACAAATTCCATTGAATTTATCTGAAGTTGTGAAACCACAGACTGTTCGTAGAATTCAAGGAGAAGGACTACCTCATCCAAAACAACCATCGAAACGTGGTGATCTTATCATAGAATTTGACATTAAATTTCCAAGTAACATTAGTCCATCAGTACGTAGTAAATTAAAGGAACTAATACCAACATCATAATGATGTCAGTGGACCGGTAATAAAGTTTAACATTTGGATTAATGACTTCCGGTGTTAATAAACTCATAAAAAGTGAACGGACATGAAGAACAAGATTATCTAGTGGTTAAAAGTTCCAAACTTTATTATTTGGTTATGTGAGGCAATGTCTGTTTGAGTGAAATAAGTTCAAGTTACCTGATAAAATGAGTGGGTGAGGAAGAATGTAAAAATAAACCTGATACTATTTACATCTTGTGTCAGAGTTTTTGGTATATTGCCAGAAAATAAATGAGTTTAACTTCAAAATATCACAATATTTGAATTAAAACTTAACATTAACTGACCTAAAATGACAATTGTTATAAGCTTTATATGTAACATGTTATAAATGAAAGTATGAAAGATTTTTGTAAAATTATTTCCTTTTAGTAGTACTGGTATTTATTGCTAAACGGTTGTCTGGAAAGATTTGTTTGTATGATAGCACAAGTTTTAGTTTTCTACAAATAATCTACTTGAAATTGAAAGGAATGTTCTTGTACATACTAACTCTCAACAATAAATTTATATTTTGTATCTGTGATATATTATTGTAAACAATAAAAATGGGTCAATGTTATATCTACTTATACAATCAGAAAGTTACCAGGCATTGTGCCAATGCAATAACAAACTTATATTTTATACAGTATCATGCTGTTCCTGTACTTCACATGTTAAGGCTATGTCTGTAGCCCATGAAGGGAGGTGGAAATTTCTTCAAAGGAACCTCAAAGTTAAAGCTGTACATTATTGATCCTTGTGAGCAATAAGTTGAGAAAACAATTTCATCATTTTGTATTGCTGGAGAGCCAATACTTTCTGGCACTTGTTTGAATCTGAATGAATCTGATGAATGGGACCAGATCTTTAAAAAATTTATAGTTTCTAAAAGGACTTGAGAAATCAGTCATCTGAGCTAGTTAGAAAATAAGATTTAAAATCAAATATTAGACTGTCCCATCAGTAAATCATTTTTTGCTATGAGAATTCGACCCCTGAATTTGAAATGGAATGCCTGTTTTTTTGGGAATTCAATACCTTTAATCTTTTTTCAAGCAATGTACCATATTGATATGAATAGTGCTCATATATATGTGTCTAACAAAAGTTGAAGGGTGTCAATTTATAGATGACTGGTAGACAATTTACAGTCTTTGTACTGAATCACAAATTAGCTCTTGACAGGGAATTATAAACCACTTGTTGAAACTGACAGTTCCTGATGTAAATATAGGTGACATGAAATTTTATGTAATGATTTATTAATAGTACATAAAAATATAAGACTGGGTCATAGATTTTATGATGTCAAACTGACAGTGAACTATCTGGTTCTACCAGTTTGATTTCAATACATGACGTTGTCTCCATACCTGAATACACTCATAGAAACATGTACACAGTTAACATACTTTTATAAACATTAACATACTTTTATAAACATTAACATCTTCAAGACATAAAGGCCTCTTTTCACTTTTACTTTTAATAGAGTATATCGGAAATTAATCTAGATTTTTCAATTTGGAATATTGAGTTAAAATTCAACTGTTGTAAATTCCATTGACTAAATAAATTTCATAAAATCAAAAGGAGCACCATATTTTACAAAGGTAACAATCTAAGAGCTTGAGACTCTTGTTTATCACCAGCTTCCAGTGTTCAGTGACTTTGCTTAAGATCAAGATTATTGAACTTTGCATAGCGTTCATTACTGCTTTAACATGAATTAACTTTGATCACATGGTTAAATTTCAATCCTGGAAAGTAAACTTATTTCCAAAAATTAAATTTATGTAAAATACAACCATATTTTAGAAAGGCTACAAGATCTAGGGAATCTTTTGTACCACCAGGGTCTTGTCCTTAGATTAGTATGTTGAAATGTTGTAAGGTCAACTCAAGCTGGATGAGGATAGTGCAAGCAGCTAAATCAGACTTTATTTAAATTTAAATAAAGAAAATACAAAAATAAGCATCTTATCAAATTTTGATATATGAGAGGACTGTAACTTTAGTATTCAACAATGACTGACAGATATATTGAAGTTCCGTCATTTCTTGTTAAAGAAAATCCAACTCCCTTCAAACAGAAGACATTTATAACTCAGGTAAGCTTATTAGGTAAGCTGTTAAATAAAATGAGCCTTATATTTGAATTTCAAATAGTTTTTAAGTGTAGTAAATGTCTTCTCTAATGTCATAGTTAAATGTCTTTTCCCCTCACATGTTATAGAGTTCACTGGCACACATCACTTATATAACATTATATAACAGTCTAACAATAAATACACAACAAACAACAATATATCATACAGTCTTTCTCTGTTCTTCATGAGAATGATGGTAAAATGTGAAAGATATGGCAGAATCCCAAGCTGATTTTAATGCCAGATCAACTAGTCCTTTTTTATCAGCACAATGATTCCAATGAGAGAGATCTGAGTTACAGTCTGTATCAGGTGCTGGAGGTCGAACTTGTATATTATTAACACATCTTCGACATTTAAATCTGAAAAAATAATAAAAATTAACATACCTGCCATTACCTGGTTTAGGTTAAAAGTAAAGGATATAGTGAGAGAAAGATATACTAGTAGCTTACAACAAGTTTTTATTTGCTAAAACCTTGATATATTATAATCATGTCTAGGACAATAATTAAAAAATGCCATGTTTTATTACGTTTTGAACTAAACTACAGAATTAAATCTTAACACATAGACTAAATATATACCAGTGGATAGACTCAACTTCAGCTATTCATAGCATTATCAGAATTAAAGTCTGATGTCCGGTTCTTTTGCATTGAGGAAGTTTTGGGCAGACTACCATTCAGATAACTACAATCATTTCATAATAATGCCCAGAAAGTAGAAACTTCAAACCATTGGACTTTGGTTGAATTTCTTGAGAACCAGTCAAACTTTATTTCTGAAAAGTGCTATATTATAATATTGCTGTAATATGAGCAAATATGTTACCTAAATAATGTCACATATATCAAAAAAAAAAATTAAGATAGCCAAATGGCTATAAAAAATATCAACTTACTTTTCATGTGTATCACTGACAGTATTTTCATTAAGGGTGAACAAATCACGTAATTCATTTAAACTAAAATGTCTTTCAACATCTTCTTCTTTATCAATAACACAACTACTTAAAGCTTTCTTATGTGCTTGTCTTTGGAATATCTTTTCTTCTATAGTACCCGTCTACAACATATAATAAGATGATCAATACTAAAAACACAAATATTCCACATATTATACTGTTCATAATGTCTGGTTAACAATCTTTTTGACCAACTCGTCTTATTTTCTAATCATCATTAATATTTTCTTGCCTAGTAAGCAATGAGGGACAGCCACATTAGCCAATTCTTTTTTTTATTTCCAACCACAAGCTACAAACAGGTCTTCAGGAACCAGGTTAAACTACAATTCACAACAAAATAAGTCAATATGGCCCAAAGAACTTACTGCAATTAGTCTATATATAAAGCATTGTTTCTTCTGACCATCTCTCCAACATCTAGCCATAGCCTGATCATCATTAGCAGGATTCCAATCAGGATCAAACATTACTAATCTATTAGCACCAATCAAATTTAAACCACACCCACCAGCTTTACTACTCAACATAAATATGAACTCTGGATTCTATAAATACAAATTGTTCATATCTTTTAAGGGGGAAGAGTAAATCATAATAACCATCTATGACCCAAAAACCATCAAATTTGTCAAATAGAAAATTAGCAGAGCCTTAATTTTGCTCTGCAACTAAAAACTATTTAAAAATATAGAGATTTCATTAACAAGAGTTCCTCTTTTGTGGTTGACATGTGTTTGGTGTTAAAGACATTGTCTAGTTTTGTATGCTCCATTTGGGTTATTGTAACAACCCTTCATCCTTTTATAAACCACACAAAATAAATATAACTTACACAAGGGTTGTTGAACCTCTCCACAATTTTAGCTCTTTTCTTAACAGTCATAGTTCCATCTAATCTTACAAACAAATAACTGAAAATAGAATTGCAAGCTATTTGATATAAACAAAATATGAAGTGTGCAATGAGGTAAACTTTATCAACATTGCATAAGGATTGTGATTACCACTGTCGAGGGCTCTTCAGGTGAACTTTTTCATGTCAGCCACTCCGACTACAACACTGACACCAAGTTGAAAAATCCAAGGTTTCATCATGACATATATCATGATTAAATAATCTCAAAAAGAAGAAATCATATACTTACTTTCTCTGTCTGCACAGTTTTTCAAATAGATCTAATGTCTGAGTATAGTTAGATACTAAGACTACTTTATCATTACTAGTTGATTTTACTACAGCTAATAGTGTATCTAATACAATAAACTTCCCTGCAATTGAAGAGTAATATTCATTAATCACACATCACAGACATTAATAATAGCAACTTTATTATTGTTTCTTCAAAAGTCATATTGGATGCGTTTTTTTTCAAACATTTTTCTGAAAATAAGATTAGACCTTTCATAGTAAAGTGTATCTCACAATAAAGATATGTACCTGATAAAGATGGATTGACTGTTTTGAGACTATATCCAGGGGGAAATAACTCTAACATATCTTCAAATCCAGAACTACCTTCTACACATTTATCGAATATTAAGTCAGGATCTGTACAATAGAAGTCAATAAATTTATGTTAAAGATTTAACCGAATATCTCAGTTTCCCCAAAGAATTCTTTCAAATCTATTCCTCAGAAGCATAACCAAGTCATTTTGAAATGTTTCTTCAAGATTTTCTGTATGTAAGGCATGAATGACATCAATTTCAATCCAAGATCACATAGATCAACTTGTGCAGTTATCTTCAATGAACCTGTTTTTTTTGTGAGTACATCATTGACCATGCTGAACCCGCACTCTAGAGTGGATTCCTTCCCATTTCCCTCCATGGCAATAATTCCTCCTGATGGTCTTCGAATTCCTCACCTGTTGAGAAGCACCGACTTAAAATATTATTCAAGGATCTACCGGTAAAACAAGCAAGTCCCTGTAGCTAAGTTTGGTCTCAACATAATATAAATATTGAAACAGATCTAAACTGAAGATTTAAAAGTATACTTACGATTACAGAGTTTTTTAAGTTGTGTTATTGAAGATAAACTACTAACAGACATTTTACCACTAGTTTCTAACTCTTCACTTCTACTCTCTACAAACTTCTTATAAATACACATTTGTAATGGTGTTAATTTACAACAGATGACTTGTTCAACTGAAAATAACAAACATACATTTTTTTAAAAAGTCTTCAGACATGATGAAAAATTTCAGATACAGGTATGTGTCTTTAGAAAACTAGACATGCATAAAACCGTTTCAATATAATTGACATACACTCTCATATTCTTGATCAAAACTTTTTTTATAATTTTTTTTCTCAAATCCCAATTTGACATACATGTGATAATGAACATGATGAACACTTTTCCCTGATCAAATGAATCAACGTATGCCTTAATGATTTCTTTTGTATTTTTGTCTTGATATTTATGCTCATTAACCGTAAATAGCTGATAAAATACTTACTTTTAACTGGTAGATATTTGGTTAATAATGCCTGCGTTCTTCTTATAATACATTTATTAACAATAGTGGCCAACTAAAATTACAATATAGAACAAATAAATGCCAAATTCAGTGTAAACTAAACCAAAATATTAACTTAAAGTTTCTCAAATAAAACCCAATTTGTATATATATATACATAACTTTCAGAATTCCAAACATGGGTAAAAACCTTTCTTAATCATTCAAATGGCGAAAACTTTCATAGTAATGAGTTTCCCATTCATTTGTTCTGTCATTAAGTTTCCAGATGTATACAATAACTTCTTACAAATTGCACCGTGTGCTAAGAACTATCCAGGTCAATTCAATGATTTTGATTGTCATTAGTTCTTACCTCTTGAAGTTTTTCTTCTCCTTTTTTATGATCAGAATCACTAGCACCAGCATCTCTACCACGTAATATCGGAGTTTCAAACTTTCTTTTAAATTCTTGAGCAGTTCCTGAATATTGAAAACAAATGTTGTGGAAAACTCGCCATTAGTTAATGAAATTTTCAAAATTTTCAATTTTTTGTAATCAAACACTTATACAGAAGCACAAGTTATTCAGATATACTATTTCTAACATTTATCAACTCAACATGTAACATGCTCATACATTATGAAAAGAAATGAATATACAGTAAACACTTATAAATTATACTTTATACTTAATAAAAATCAATTGAAAACCAAAGAAAATACAAGATTTTCAATAGCAACCAGCCTGTCAAATACCTTACTGATACAATTACTGAATCATATACAATTCAAACAGCAAATTAATACAGAATATTTCACTTACCTAAAATGCCAGTATTAACAAAATGTACCAAACTAAAATATTCTAAAAGATCATTTTGTATAGGAGTTCCTGATAATAATATTCTTCTTTTAGCATTTAATTCATTTAATGCCTTATATGTCTGATTTTCAGAATTTTTTAATCTATGTCCCTAAAATAAAGTATTTATGTCTATATTATTTTTTAAGATCAAACTAATCAATAAAATCTTCTTTGTTTAATTTCTTTATTTCAAAATGATAAGTTTCAAGATATAGATTTGAAAGAAAGAGATCTATGAAAGCTACATGTTGTGCAAGGGAGATTACCACTGGAGTATTTCAGGCCAATTTTGAATCCTCATGAAAAAAGGTAGAAAACACAACAGTGTTTTGGACTACTTGAGATTGAAAAGAGCTAAAAAAACTGAGCTTCAAAAAGCAAGACTGTGAAGTACCAGGGTAAAAAAAATGGCTGCAAATATAAACAAGCCACCAAAAAGAGTTGAATTCGTGAGCAAGATTCCAAGACATCATATTAGTGTTCTTTGGAGATTTAAAGTTGTTTTCCAAGGTGGCACTTGATTGAAGAGTTCTGAGTTGCAATCTATATCCTTTTCCGCCATTTTGAATTCTGTTTGTATCTACTATTTTTTCGGCATATGTGGAATGCGTTTTTAGTTCTGTTCTAACTTGTTTGCTGATTCCATCATGAATCTTGAACTCACCAGATGTCAAGAACTCAGAAGCAACCACTGAAAAAAGAGTACACTTACCTCATCACATATAACAAGTCCAACAGATCCTTTATGTAATACATGAGAATGTAGACGAAATGTTTCATAAGATATTATCAATATAGGTAGATGTACTCTTTTACCAGACTGCTGCATAAATTGACCTAGATAGAAACATAATTTTTGTCTTTTTTCCCCATAGATAAAGATGCAGATTGCTGTCAATTTTGATCAGCAATTCCAAAAAACAACTTTCCACCCACATAATAATAACATGAATATGAAATCGATTTTAAATTTATGTCATTAAGCTTTATACCACATTCTCTAGCTTAACAACATCTCTTAAAAAGTTTTAAGTCATCTACAGCTTAGGTAAACTTGTAAGAAAAAATAATCATCAACTTACTTAGGTTTTTATCAATTTCACTTTTACTCCCTGAGTCAATAACTAGACATCTTACTTTACCTGGTAGCCATTTATTAAACTCATTATACCAATTCTACAATAATACATAGTTTATTTCATCAATTATAATCTATATATCCTTACAGTATGCTGGAAAACATTGACATTCACTATTTCAAAGGAAGTACAAACCAGTGTAAAATTTTGAAGTAATATATGTGCATAATCTTGAGCTTATCCATAATAAAATATATTTGAAAAACATTATAGATACATACCTTTACAAGACTGCTAGGTGATACAATAATACCTTTATCAATGGTAGGACTACAATCTGGACTTTGTCTCTAAAATTAGAATTAGAATAAAGATTAAGATTATTGAACTTAGTATAGCCCTCAATACTGATCTATACATATATACAATTCTTATTAGGAAAGATTCTTTCATAAAGATTGTTTTTTTTTTCAACTTTCTCTTAAAGGATAATTAATTGTGTATAAGCAAGTACAAACAATAGTTAAGCATAGTGTCAACTTCAATAGAATACTTACCAGTAAAGTCCAAACTAATGTAATACACTGTAAGGTTTTACCAAGACCCTGAAATAGATATTACATCATGTCTATAGTTAATAATAAGAATTTATATTATATCAACATATTTACCCTAAATCATTGTTGATAAACTGAGTCCAATATACAATATAATGAGTGTTTGCTTCTAGAGACACACTCAAAATAAATGCACTTCACAATGCAATGATTTATTCCCTTAAATTAAAATCCAAGTACAGCTAGTTTTGGACTTTGCCTTTTAATTTGTGGTATGCACATGTTACAGCTCTTATTTTCTTGGAGATTAATTCACATTTTAAGTGAAGGCACAAGATGCTTCAGTCATTAATAAACTGGAAATAAAAAGCAACTAGCTTACCATTTCATCTGCCATAATACAACCATAACTATTCTCTATCTGTACACCAACCACACAATCATACATAAATTTCACACCCTAGAAAATATCAAAATCATTTCAATACAGTCTAACAATCCTTACCAATAGCACTTATATTGTAAAAACCTTTTTTTATTCAAGATTAAATATCTGAAATTGTTCTAAGAAAATCAAGCAGAATTGAAAATACTTACCTCCCTTTGGTGAGGTCTAAGAACAGCAGATAACAAAGGATCAACAACAACATGGACTGGTACTTTCTCACTGAATGTAAAATCATAAATCCAGATATCAATGAGTAAGAAAATTGAAATCTTAACAGAGCCTATGACTCAAGTTTGAGCTTTTTTTTTTTTTTTTTATCAAACTAGACTGTAAATGCTCTAAATCATATCTCATATTATAAAATCTTTTAAAGAGAGGTATAATAGATTCTGTAAAATAAAAATGTTGACATAAATAGTCAGACATCCACAACCAAAAAGCCTCACTCACCTATCAGTTTTCATTTGATCATGAGCACTAAGTTCTGGTGGGGTATGTAATATCAATGCACCATTCTCACAGGGATCATGTAAAGCTTGTCTTGTACCTTGTCTTCTAACACCAAGCGCTTTATTTAAACTACTACCTACAACGACATCAAAAAATATAATGCTTGACAGTTATTTAATAATCAATGTAAACTGTGGTGGGATAATCTATACATTAAACGATATTGGCATATCCATTACACATAAGCATCAAATTTGGAAAAATATTGACTGTTAATAAATCATTCTATCATTTTGTACTGAAAATAATTATTTTCACTAAAATAATCAATTCATAGAGCAATTTTACTTGTACTTACAGTTATACTGACATTTATTTGTAATCTTCAACAAAATATCTTTAACATGTGTAGAAATATCGAAATATTTCGCATAATCAAGGGGAAACAATTTGAATGTCTAAAAGCTTCTAATAAAATAATAAGTCAATATAAGTAAATACACATTATCTTACCTTGATAATTTGGTATAGGAATTTTAAATGGTTTTGACAATATTTTCTTAATAATAGCTTCCTAAAATCATAAAATTATTTTGTCCATTTCATTACATGATCAGTTTTTGATATGTATACACCAAATAAAAACATGCAAAGAACAGCAAAGCTGGTTTGTAAGGCATAAGCCACATGTAAATAATAACTTTTAATTCAATCATTGCACATCAAACTATGCAATTGTAGAAATAAAATGATCAAATCAATAAATGAATTATTTAGGTACTGATATATGAAGATTCTTTATTCTCCCTTGAAGAAAGGTTAAAAATAAGATTATAAGAGAGATTATATTGAATTAAAATAGTACCGAACACTCAAATTAGTGAGTACAAGTCTAACTCAACCATGTGATCCTGAAACTTACATGAGAAGATGTGTCTGTAACAATGGCTGAGTATTTGTTGATAATATCTGATAATGGTTTACGATATGGAGATTGATGTTGTTCATATGGTGATATACCAACATTCTTATGTCTCTTCTGAAATATCAATTTGAGACTTTTACAAAAGATAATAAATTCACACATTATACTAAATTCCATAAATAAAATAAAATTCAAAAATTTTGTAGAAGCGGATTTTCAGATGTGTCTTTGGCCCCTAACTAACAAAGCACAGCAAAAGTCAATAAAACTGGTCCTTCTAAATGCTAATTAAGTTTATCTAAATGTTACACAAAAATCAAAGCTTAAATGCCTAAACATATAAAAATAGATTTTTACCTTTGTTTTGTCTGGTATGTATTCTTCATCATCATCATTATCATCAGTCTTTCTTTTAATTATTGTCATAGACCTTTGACTTGGTGCACAGCTCCGCCTCTACAAATAGTTAGATCAAAATTGAATATATGCATTGCTTTGATCATCTATTATAGTTTATTATCGTTAATTATAACTATTAGAATTGGATGACTGACCTTAAAACTAGGAGAAAGTGTTATTCTAAGGCCTACATGATGCACTTTGATTGGTAAAATACAAGCTTATTAAACTGAATCTTGATAGAAAACTTGAAAGATTACAATGGAGATTGAAAACATCTATATCAGAAAAAAAAAAGAGTTCAAAGAAACAATTTTAAATAGTTCAGCCTTTCTTAGGAAGTTGACGTCAAAGTGTTTTTTTGTGAAGTTCTGCTAATATTCGAAACAAATGGTAAAAAATAAGGCCATCTAGCATCTTCTTCCCCAAGCAAGTTTGGAGGTAGATTTATCCTCCTACATTACTTTGCTATTTTAAAAAAAAATAGGTTGTGAGTAGGTCTTTCCTGTACGTACGTAGTATTTATATATAACATAAGAGGATAAGTATAATATTTATGTGAGGTTGAGTGGGAGGAAATTATTGCGTAATCAGGAAATTATGAATGAAAAGTCTGATGAAAGGGATCGGTACCATTATTATGTAACAGTATACAGAAGATATTGACATGAAAGGATAAATTGTGTGGAAACTTATGTTATACTGAAACAAGATTTAATGTTAAGCTTTACTTCTTAGAAGCCAGTAACAAAACCTACTTTTACTTTTCTTTAGTGACATTTATAACGGTAAATCGAAAGTAGGGTGAAATGTGATTTAATTTGTTTTTATTCTTAATGTGACAAGACCATCTTACCATTTTTTGGTATATTGTTAACTTAAGTCGACTGTTGTGTACTGTACACCAATCCTTTATGAAACATATAATTTGGATCAAGAAGTTAAAGGGAAACACCGACAAAACAATTTAAAGATCGCCGCCATTTTGGTGGAAATCTCTAGTCTGTAACGAGGCTTCCAATCAACAAGCACCTTGAGTCACGTGTCTGACAGGCTTTCCTACAGAGGGACTGACTGACGCTGTATGTAGGTCACAGGGTGAAAGGGTTGTTATGGTCAAATTTTCGGATTGTGGCCTGAAAATTTGACCATCGAATGGCGAAAGGGGTACGAGGGAATCAAAGATGACAAAGGAACTGAAGTTACACAGTCCGGCTGGAGCGGAATCAGCCATTTACACGTGGCCTTTTCCCGATACGGTAAGGCGTGTTTCTTCTATTATAAAAATAAATGGATGGCATTTTCTTCACTCTTTACAGAATTTCCCCCTTATTCAGTACCGTTCCCCCTTATTTTTGTACGATTGTCCATGTTGATTAATATAAACTTTAAATGAAGACAGTCTTTGTTTGATTTTTAGGAGGGAAAAGATGGGTCGTGTGAAATAGTTGATACTATAAGGTAAGCATTGTCGTGTCTATTTTTATCTTTATAAGTATTCGTTTAGTCTCGTTCCTTTAGACTGAGGCATGTTCTGATTCGTTCAGTGCAATCATTGACCTGTCTGTGTCCTTTATAACCTCATTTGATTGGTGAACCAATTTAAAGGAGCTAAGCCAATTTATTAGTTAATAATTAGATCTAAGCCTAGACATAACCCAGCTACACAATAAGGCCAAGCTTAAATGTGAAGGATATGAAAATGTTATCAGAATTATTTTGGCTTAAGCATTTCTGTAGTGCCCTATGTTATGCCTTTATGAAATTTGCCTACTTAGCACTAAGGCAGGACACTAAAAGGCCTCTAATGTAAGGTATCATTTGTCAATGTTATGGTACTAAATTAAAAAAAAAAGATAGGAGATGGGTTCAAAATTCATTAATTTCACAAAATTTGGATCAGATGACTTTTAACATATGAAGGAATGACTGAGAATTAAGGATTACACCACATCCGACAGGAAACTGTACGATATAGACCAGTGGGTTTTCTCAAGTAGATTTTTCATATTTGAAATTGTCAAAGAGCCATGTATCAGACAGAGCCAGGTCTGGGATCATCTTGGGAGTCGAAACCCTGGCATAAACTTAACAATAATACTAGGTACTCTAACATAAAGGCCTCAGACATGTTATTCCTTTGACATATATTTCCATATAATATGTACAATTGTTGAAACTAGTTTTCATGTGATTTGAAAAGGAGATCTATTAAAGTTGAAAAACATAAAATCAATACATGTTTCTATCAATCAGCTTAAAACCAGGTCAACTGTCAGAGTCTGAAGACTAACTGTGCAATACCAGAACCAATAGTACTGTACTAGTAATAATGGCTGTCAGATTGATCTAGTTTTATTCTAGGTCACCAATCAATATTCCTTATTGTTTTGTCTAGACCTCACATCAAAGAAATAAAAGATAATAATAAAACCACTGATGCCAATGATCTGATTCCTTTTAAAGGAGGCAGCCCAGATTTGAGTTTTGCAAAATGAATTACCGGTACTTAAAAATGTCTTAACGAGTATGGTTTTGAGAGTTACATTATTAGTTTATATTAGTATAAATGTGATAGCTTTCAAGTATGAAATGGTCTACTGCTGTTGTTTAGCTTATTGTATGAAGTTTTAAAAGCTGAATAACTTGTCTTGCAAGTAAATTATCCATGAAATTTCGCAACCAAAAAGGCCATAAGAAATTACAGTGTCCCAAAGAGCAAGCAGATTGTGATTTTTGACACTTCCTAAGAAAACATACCATGCCCCTAACAGGTTACATAGAACTTTGCTTGGCACAATGACAGTTTTCTGTTGTCAAAGTGATAAAAGGGTTTTAGTGAAACTTCAGTATTGAATTATCTGAGTAAGCTTTATGAATAAGTAAAATGATACGAATATCATATCTGAATGAAGTTGTATATTATCAGATATTTAGAGGTCTATATACATAGATCTACTATGTTAATTTACACAGAAGTTATGGATTATCTATTGAAACTTATACACACCTGGTTATATGAATTTTTGCAGTCTGAAATGTTTGGTGAATTTAAACCTCATTATTTCACCCTTTAGATGAAAGTTGTCAAACAATTACATAAAAATGAATTTTGACATGTATCTAAACCATTTCTGTTGATGGGGCTGTTTCCAAAAAATTTTTAACACAAAATGGGAATATAATTTATGTATCTTTAGATTACTAAAACAAATGAAAAGCCGAACGGTATGGCTACAGCTCAGTTTTGATTTGATGTTAAAGACTGAAATATTTGGATTTTTTTTTATACATGTACTCTATTGTATTGTAGTATAATATGCAACATAATACAGTTATTACTAATTATTGATATTTATGTTATAGATGGGTATGTGCAGACTATCCAGAGTTAAAGATAGCATTGGAAAAGACAGCCTGTATTAATGATTATGATATTAAAAGGTATGTAGATATTCTCCGAGAATACTAAATAATTCTTATCAATACAAAGTAAATTAAACATTGAGGACAATTACAAAAGATATATATATACTTATATAAGTTTATGACATTTAAGGAAGTTATTTTAAATTGGTCATGCTTAGCTAAGTGTATGCACATACAATTTCTTATTCATACCCTCTTTGTTCATGATTATAAATTTGAAAAGATGTCAATCAAAAATAATGTCTAAATTTGTGTACTGGGTACTTATATTTATTTGAAGTTGTCACAGACCAATTTTAAAGATACAGTTGACTACATATTTGCCATTAAGCTCAATTTCAGCAATTCATATTGTTTTTCCAGAAGAAAATGCCCTTTTCTGCAATCCAACAAAAACATACCACACTCAATAATGTTGTCAAGTTGCATTATTGCATTTCGACATGTCATTATTACTTATGACAGCAAATCATAAATAACTGCATGTGAAATGGTTAAAATAAAAGAAAAATTGAGATTTTTTAATATCTTGTAATGATGTAGTTTATTCTTCCAAATATTGATGTCCACTGTTGATTTTCTTTTTGTAGTTATGAGAGTATGAAAAATATATGTGATAAATATAACAGAGCTATTGATAGTATTCTTCAACTTGTAAGTATACTTGAAGCTGTTAAAAAGATCCTACATGAATTGTCATTTTTGTTGAATATGTCGACTGTATGCACCTGATGCCCCTCTCCGATGTCATACAATTGGAATTACAAAAATTACAGGTGGATTAACTGTTTTGTAGACAATGACATTAATAACTATGAGTACAGTCAGTGTTATTGTTGAGTGTTAATAGAATATTTCTTCTTGTTTTCAGTGGAAAGGCAGCACTATATATAAACCTAATGAAAGACCAACTAGAGGTCATTTAAAACATATTTTACAACAATGTTATAATAAAGCTGTCAAAGATCCAGATAAATTGAACCAATATGAACCATTTTCACCAGAGGTATGTTCTATATCATTGTTTGTATATGCCTCCATTTAAAGTGGAGCATGTATATATTGGCAGTAACCATGCCCATCCGTCCACAATTGCTCGTAAACACTCCGGAAGGACTAAATTTTTCATACTGGTGATGGTTACTGTACTGCCAAATATACTTATTATTAAAACTTGCCAGTGAACTTACATTACCTTGTCAGGCAAGCTATCTTTATATTATATTGATTATGACAATAACTATGTCAAAATTTGTAATTTCTTTTTTTGCCACTATTCAAATTGCACACCCTAAGAGATATGCAACTAAATCAATGCTACAAATGTAAAAGGAGTTAAATAGGTTTTATGGATTATATGAATATTCATTATTGAAACCGTAGAATATTTCTGATACGAATCCTTATTATTTAGAGAATTAAGGAAAATAGTATAATATTTTTGTGAATATTTTGTAGGTATATGGTGAAACATCATTTGAATTAGTAGAACAGATGATCAACTATATTAATTTTACTGATACAGATTACTTTATAGATCTTGGTAGTGGTAAGTTAACGTTTTTTATTTTTTATCTATAAGCTTCTTTAAACTAAGTTTCTCAAGCTATTTAACAGTTTTCTTCTTATATGAGATAAACGTCAAATAGATTCTGCTGTTGCAAGCATGGGGAAAGTAAAAGCTAAATATATGAATTATTTTTCGCTCAACAATTCTTGTGCAATTGTTATTGTAAGTTCTTCTGTAAAATGTTTTGAAGTTAGAGGTATGTATTATTTATCTAGACTATTCTATTGAAATACATATATTTTGATGTTAGGTGTTGGACAAGTAGTAATTCAAGTAGCAGCTTCTACTAATTGTAAATATTGTTATGGTATGGAAAAGGCTGATTATCCAGCAGAATATGCAGAGGTAAGTTCCCTTTAATTATTAAAGGGCATGGTGATAGAAGTTCAGATATTGCAGTGAACTGGACTTAATTTTTGTTGCAAACTTCAGCCAAATGAATTATTCCGCCTGTGCATTATATTAGTCAATAGCCTATCCATAGCATTTTTCAAAATGAATATTTGACATTATGTTCACCTTAAATTAGACAGGAATTGATTGGTTTTAGTTAATTATTTATGTATATAATTTGTGATTATGTGTTATAGATTATGGATCGTGAATTTAGAAAATGGATGAAATGGTATGGTAAAAAACATGGAGGGTATAAGGTAAAGATTCTTCCTTTTATGCAGCTTTTATTTCGTATAAATTTTATTCTTTTATATTTATGTATTATTATCATGCTTGAGAAAAAAAGACATAAGCTAGTAATGTAAATAAAGATTTTGTCTAGAAAGTTATGACTAGAACTAATTTCAATGATGTAATTTGATGTTTTCTACAGATTGAAAAGGGAGATTTTCTCTGTGATGAAATGAAAGAAAAAGTCAATAATGCAACGTAAGTATAAATATTATAATTAATTTAATGATGCAACTGGCACATTGCTAAGAAAGAAATTTTGTACAAAATTGGTACAAAAGTCAAGTCCCAGCTTTTCAGTCATTTTCTCGGTTTTTATAGGATCGGGATATTGAAAATATGAGAGAAATTCCACTGAGACCATCTAATATCTATTGTATTATATTTTGTTTATATTTTTCAGTGTGATATTTGTTAACAATTTTGCTTTTGGTCCAAATGTTGATCATCAGGTAAGACAATGAAATTTTTTCTCTTTTAAAATAGTACTTAGTCATCTGGACTATTTAGGCTGGATTACTGCTTTCCATTGGCATTGAGTTTGGTAAAAAACTACAAAAGTTGATTTTGAGTTAACATGTAATACTTGTACAAAATTTCCAAAGGAATCTGAAATATTTGAGGTGCATTGCTTTAGACTTTGTTGCGTTAAGTTCACTTAATCAGTTTATATGTTATAACGTTAATCTTTTATAAAGAATTGATAATTCTTGAATTTGTTTCCATATCATTCTTATCTTGTTTCAGTTAAAATTGAGGTTTTCTAATATGAAAGAAGGTGCCAAAATTGTTTCTTCTAAAGCTTACTGTCCCTTAAACTTTAGAATAACAGATAGAAATTTAAGTGGTAAGTTGATTTTTCCTACGTTAATGTAGGAATGTTCATTCAGAATTTTGTATTACAACCATCGTTGCAAGCTAGATTTCCAACAATATTTTAAAATTTTTTATGTACAGTGTTGCCTACAATACTATGTTGATCTTTTGTTAACATAACAAAGTTGCATTTTGGACAAACATAGGAATCAATGTGTTCCATATGTTGACAGTCACATTTTCTAAGATCAAGTTTATGTGTTATTGATTGTTGATAATTTAGATGATCTTTCCATCCCTTTATCCTGGATATAGACTTACTGCATGTATATCATTATATTGCTCATAATCATCCATCCATTCATTCATTCATTCACTTGCGATAATTTAGTGTGGCATATATAAGTGCATACGCCTCATACCAAGATATTTCATCATGTTAAATGTTTCATTTATGGTGATGCTCGATTGGAGAGTTCTGAACAGGTTCGTTCAGTTTGTATTCTGCCCTCAATTCCAACTGAAGTGGTACTTTTTAAAATTCTCCTATTTTTATGTGCATGTGGAACATGTTCTGAACTCTGTTCTAACTTGTTTTATTGAACGTCTGGTTGATTCCATGAATTCTCAATGTACAGAACTCATCAATCAAGCTACCTCCTTATCATTTAAATCATTTAATAATGTAATCAGTGTATTCACAAACGCTCTAGATCATTCTAGCACTTTCGTTTCCTCTTGTCCTCATCAACTTAGTATAATTGCAGATATAGGAAGTATAATGCATGTAACTGAATTATGTCCCTTGCCCGGATCAGTATCATGGACCAGTAACCCTGTCACATACTATGTTCATACAGTAGATAGAAGTTTGGTGAGTTGTCATGACGATGGAAGTAATAAATTGATACTCCATATCACTTTGTTTTGTTTTAGTGTTTTGTTGCTTTGTTAGTTTTGCCTTGTACTAACTTCATCCTTGCATGTTGCATGTATCATCACTTTAATAATCTTATATATTGTATGTTGTCATAAAGAAGTGAATTGGAAGATTTTGTCCTGAAATAAATGTATTTGTGAGTAATTTGTTTATAAGCTTCAGAAGATACACGACCAATGGAGAACATCCAATTCATTCTTTATTACAATATACAATATAATGTTGAGATTTTAAACTGAAGTTTGATTATTTGAGAGGTTGTTGTTTTATATTGTTCTGCCTTACAGATATTGGATCTATAATGCATGTGGTGGAATTATCGCCATTGTGCGGGGCCGTGTCATGGACAGGCAAGCCCTTTACATACTTTGTTCACACTATAGATCGTACACTGGTAAGTAAGAGGTTTATCTGCAGAATGAACATTGTATTGTTGTTTGTTGTGTTATTGGCATGAGAGTTGTGCTAGTTTCAAACCATTGAACCTGAATGTACAGTTAATCAGTAAATGCCTAGTTTATTCTGTTCAGATTTCTAGAGGAAAAGGAAAACGTTTTTTGCAGGAATCATGGAATTATTCTACATACACTGTACTTCACATCCAGTTTCCTGAAAAATCAGACAAAATTCCATGATTCCAGTTAACCTGAATTTTTCCTTCAACTGGAATGATAGATTTAGACTTTGCCTTAAAGTTTCTTTGATTATAAATGTTATCAACAAGTTGTCTGTGTTAAATGTTAAAAATATAGCTATAATCTTTATAATATTAATGGTAATCTCTGCTCTATCTGCTTGAAAATTAGTATGAATGAACTAATTCACTATTAATTTTAATAATAAACTAATATACTCAATTCTAAACGGTGAGCTAGATGTAGATGTTTTATTTTTTTCCTGTGGGTGACTCACATTTCTTCATAATTTGATGCATTTGTACTGCAATATATGTTCTAGGTCACTAGTATATTCAACCAATCAAACACATTGTTTGCATCATTCTGTGATATTCATTGCTTGAAAATACCATTGTCAGTCTAATTTTAACAATATTTTGACTAGTTTGCGAAATTATGATGCTATTGGATCAGAATTCAATTAAACACTATTTAATGAAAAAGTTTGTTAGATCAGGGACAGTGAGTGTGATTACCTGTAGAAATGAGAAACATCTAGATCTGTATTTCATCCAATTGAACGCAACTGATAAAATGCTAAATATAAAGTTACTAACTTCACCAAATCTTAATTATTAACATGTTTTTGCTTAATGTGCTTTACTAAAATTAACAAGACATGCACTCTCATCTTCCCTTTTCTTGATTTCTGATTTATAAGCTTTGATTATTATGTATGAAGCTTGCAATATTAAAATAATGATGAAATTCTTCATCTTCCAAATAAAGGCTTCAAGTTATATGATGGAGCATCAATAGACTATATAGTATGTTAATATTAAATCAAAATACTTATATAACTCATATTTTTTATACTGAATTTGAATATATCAATATTAACTTTCTAGTTAGAGAAATACTTTCAACGATTGAAAAATCCAAAAGCAAAGGTAAATTTTTTTTTAATTTTTTAACAGTAATGACAAATTGTTTTGTCTGTTTCGGAAACAGAAATTTTGTTACTAAGATAATGAGTTATGGTGTTCACAGCTCACCATCGAAATTTGATTCTTCAAATCTATGTGTGTCCAGTTATCCGCACTTAAAATGAGACTACCTCATGTATGGAAAAGACAAATATGCAAAGAGAAATATTCACAACCCAAATCAATTCTCGAATATAGAGAACTGTGTCCTGTTTGTAGGATTTAGAAGAAGTTAGAAAAGATAGAAAAGGAAGAGTTATAAAAGATAAAAATACTAATGTAAGTTTATATTTATTTGATCTGCTACAAATTGTCCAAAATTTCCCTGAATTCTGACTTTCATTTCAGAAATTCAGAAAGCTCTCTGAAACAATTTTATTTTATTTTGAAGTTTCCATTCAAATACTTCAGTTGTGAAGTGTTAAGTAAATATTATGCTTGAAAGGAAAAGAACGATTGGAAAATCTAGTTTTTGCTTAGAGGAATTAGACTTAATTAAATTGTCCAATTCCAATGGCTTATTCAAAGAAGATTCTCAACAATATAATTTTATGTTCAACAGGAAGATAAAGATAAAAAGAAATCTAGTAAAGATCATCAAGATCATACTTATCAGTCAGCTAATAATAAAATAGTTGATATAGATAGTAATAGTAACACTAGTACAGCTACCACTATAACTAGTAACTTAGATGAGAATGGTTCAGCATCTAACATAGGACCAACGACCAGACGGGCCTGGACAGAATGGGTACAAACTAAACCTAAATCATCTGCTGAAGATGAAGAAAATGAAGTGGTGAGTTATAAATAGTAAATTGATCCTTTGATGATACTGTTTTTTTCTAATGCTGCTTTGATTGAAAGGGTGCTGCATGGCATTGCCCGTGTTCATTAGCCCATAAGATGCAGAAAAGTAGGATGTAAAACTTTCTTTTCATTTCATTTCTTTTCAACAATATCTAAAAAAAAAAACATTGCTCTATATTTTTAAAGTATAGTGTTGTGGTATTCAAACTGGACTTGAAAGTAGTATTGTTATTGTATTTAAGGAGAGAGATATGAAATTAAGTAAGAAATTAAAGAAGAAGAAGAATAATGTGGGAAATAAAAGACTAAATGGTAGTATTATTAACAATAAAAAACAGAAAGAATCAAATAGTAAGTACTATTGCTTACTTCTAATATTTAACCTTTTATATGTCTTCTACATCTGAAGATAATTATATAGTATAAATAATCAATCTAACTGCTACTCTCAATCTGTTTGCTAACTACTAACAATTTTATCACAGTTGTTGATTTCAATTATCTTTGCCATTAGATCCTGACTCATTGTTGACATTCAATTGCAAAATCTAAAATATATCGAAAATGAAGGCAATAACATCTGTCAGTTTGAAGCTGTCATATTGAAGGAATACTATATCTTATCATGACCAAAGAATTGAAAATTTTCAACTTGACAAAAATGAGTCTATATTCACCAGAGGACTTGTCATAGCTATTCAACAGAATCCCTGTATATCAATAAAAACCACCGGTAATTATAGAAAAATGCTTAATATTTGTAAAGTGTTTTTCAACAATTACTTAGTTTATTGGATAATAGAGGGATTTTGTTGTAAAGTTATAACACCAGCTAAGTTCACTTATGAATATATACTGGTCAAGTTATAAATATAATGAAAACATCAACTGTGAAATCTAAAGCCTCTATTTCTTATCTTCTAATACTTGCAGGGCGGAAACCATTTTCTAATCCAAGAAACAAGACTAAAGCCAGAAATAAGACAAAAGCCTTGGATTTGGATGGTTTAAATCTGCTTCATACTCATACTCTACTTTCAACATCAGGAAAAGGTATGAACAAAACCTTTCTGAGATTTCTGTCTGATGTCTGCACTGAATTATAAGAAGCCATGTTTGTTTAATCATACAGAATATTGTATATGAAATGTTTTATAACCATCTAATACGAATATAGTCCTTTTAATAACTACCTAAGATAGAACTCTTCAACGTAAAAATCCAACTCAGGGTTTTGTATACATGTATTATCAAGTAGAAAGAGTTGATGTCTGAGGTCTTCTGTATTGGTTATTTCAAATCCTGTTCCTTGAATGGGAGATGACTATGATGTCAGATTTTGATTTGAATTCAGATCAACAAGCATGAAATTAAAAGGACTATATTCCTAAAACACAAAGGTCTATATGTATACTCATTTCCCAGTAATTACTTACCCCTGTATTTGATTGTAATGTTTATTTTTCAGAAATTAAAGATACTCAGAAATATAATGATAGTCGTATGACTAATAGTAACTCTACCTCATATTTTAAAACAACACAATGTCAAACTGTATCATCATTAGAAAAACCACAAACCTTAGATCAATTTATGGGTAAATATTTTTTATTAATGTCACATTTTTGGGAGATGAAGTGTTTCAAATTTCTGTATTTATCTGAAGGTCTGGAGAGAAATCCTAGTAAAGTTTGAGAGATTACCTTCAGATATTTCATGCTGGCTTTCCCTATGTCAGTTATGCAGGTCTGATAAGCTAGTCTTTAAGATGGGCATGTTTGCTGGTGTCTATGTACATCAAGGAGACCTCAACAGTTAGAAATGAAGAAAGATGGTTAAGAAAAAACAAAATTGACGAATTTTACTCAGTGCACACAGCTTGACATTAAAAGAGAAATGAATAATACATATCTTTACCTTTCAATAAGTGTTTTTATGTTTTCAGATAAATTAAAACAACAGTATATAACATTTTTAGCTTATATGAAATCTCCAGCTTACAAAACTTGTCTTCAGCAACAGATAACTAAAGAAAGGGTAGGTGTTCATTTTATGATATTTGTTTGCTACCAGAGCTACCATAGTGAACACTGATAGCATCAATTTGCACCATTCCACTTTTTAATCTGACGTCTCTGGTTCCTGTAATTCCACTATATAACAAAGTATTTGATGACATCACTAATCGTTAGAGCATAATTTGTTAAACTTATTTCTATTTTTTCAGACTAAAAGAAAAGATTTAGAGATGAAAGTTGGATTGTTGGAAACTCAAATAACAGCTCTTCAAAGAAACAGCAAAACATTGCTCAATGCCAGACTTAAAGATGTAAGTTAGAAGTTGACTTTCTTTTCAATTATGTCTGACTATTGCATTCTGTCTAGCATACATTGATAATAATATACTAGGTATGATTAAGGTCGGGCTATTTTGGTTGATTGATTCTTAATAATCATGACATCATTTTGTCCATTTTTAGCTGAAAATAGATGCTGAGACGCCCAGTGAATTTTTAAATCAAGCTAAACAGATAGTTAATGAACATAAAGAAAAGGAAAAACAAAGTAATTTCCTCCAATCCCAGATTTCTAATCTTCTAAAGGAAAAAAATTTATTGGTAAGAACCAATTTATTTTCTTTTGTTCAGTAACTATTTGTGTTTGTTTGGTGATTGCATGCAATTCATGTTTTACTTTTTGTTTTTGTTTACTTGTTTTATATGATATTCTCTCTTTCAGACAGAGGCTACAAAACAACGAGAAAATAAAACTCTCAATAAGAAGGGCAGCAAAAAGGTAATTGATTTTATGGGTCATTCGGAATATGGTTTTGCTTAGGAAAAGTTACTGAGAATTCAAATTGTCATCCTTTCTGCTGAAGTCGTTAAAGTAAAACTTGAGACTTAACAATAATACACTTTAAATTATAGCTCTGCATTTATTTCATTTCATATTTTTTTTTCTTCAGAATGGTCTGTTACAACAACCATATTACACTCATAATTATCTTTATAATGAAGTGAATGCTTCCATGGCAACTAAACATAAATTACTAGAACAAGTATCACAGTTAGAAGCAGAAGTGAAATGTTTAGAGAAGAAAAATGGTGAATTAACAAAATGTAAGGAGAATGGTAATGTGAATGGTGCCAAGAAAGTGAAAATCTCCCTGGAAACCAATTCCAGTAAAAATGATTTTGTTCATTCAGTGGTCAAGAAATTCAAAGTAGACTCAGAATCACTGAAGCCTGTGAATGGTGTCCAGTTAAATATTTTATCTAATAATATTAGTGATATGTCTAGTGTAGGAAAAACATTAGAAAAACCTGATCTGTCCATTAAAAGTCTATTGGAAAATACTAAAATGACTAACAGAACAACACCTATAGTAGATAAAAACATAGAAAAATCCAAGACAAAGTCAGTGGTTTTGAATATCTCTAAACCAGAGAAGTCAGTGCCAAATAGTGTTAGTGGAAATAAAGACTTGGTACATTCCAGAGAACATACAACTGATCTCATCCAGTCCAATATAGAGGATGATAGTATAGTTAGATTAGCTTTAGCTGATGGTCTAATGCAGTTAAAATCTGGAACTCCAGTTCGCAATGCTGGGTCTCATCTCAAATTTGAACTAGGAAAGGATTCTCAGTCTAGTCCAAATTTAGATTTAGAAAAACCTGCTTCTAAAAGTATATCCTTGAACATTAATAAATCGGTTCCTATAACATCTCAAATGGTTCATCACGGTTCAGTGGTTACTAGTAACTCACCATCTTATAGTTTTACTAAATCTAATACCATTTCTGAACCAAAAACAACAACATTGACAATGACCAATGTGAAAGGACATTCACCAGCTATTTTAGCTAAGAATAAAGAAATTTTAAATAGTGCTATAGTGAAACAATTACAAAATCAGTGTTATAAATCTGGTAGTAAATCTGTTAGTCCTTGTAGAGAAACCAGTCCAAAAACTACAAAAAACATGGAAGTTAAAAAAGGAAAACCAATTCCTAATGAAATAAAGAATATAAGTTCACCAACTGGTTCAATGCCTGTCCAAAATAAACGAATTGAAGTGACATCAAACCAAGTAAAGATTCATCAAGTTGTAAAACAAAACCAACTAGTCAAGGCAAACCCAGTTGTTAAGGCAAATCCAGTTGTTGTCAAGT